CATTAGCACAACAACCCAAATCACTTTTAAGTTCCTTGTTGGATTCTCCCTTCTATAGAAGTCTGTTGATCTTAAAATCAATGGATCTCCCTATATGAGCCTTCCTGAGCTCTAAGCTCTTTTGGGAGGCCTCAGTTCCGCCACCTTCCCAGGCATGGTTGGTGGCCTTCTTGGTGGCTACTCCCTGTCTCTGGAACTCACTCCCTAAGAAGGGTACAATGGTTTCCTCCTTGCTTCCTTCTGCCAGCAGGCTTTGGGGGATTAACTGCAGTGGACTTTTAATGGTGTATTATTTTGTGGTTGTTTTTATTAAATCCTTCCTTTGATTGGTTTTAATTCTGTAGATGGTTGTCACAAAAGAGATTTGTTGCTCAGCAGAGGGTCCAAATCAGCAGAAGCAATGAAATCAAGGTATAGGAAAAAGTTTATTACTTCTGTAGAAATAGGTCCACCTGGAAAGGTGCAAAATGAGACAACTGAATGGTTCTCAGGTTGAGCTTCTAAACCCTTTTACAACTGGGGAAAAATAACATCTTAAATCAAAGCACATCCTCTCTGTCTACCATTCATCACTTTTGGGCTGTCCCAGAAATGGCTATGTTTGGTCTAATCTGTTTATCTAAGTAAACAATATGTGAAATTCAGCAACAGAAACTTTGGATGTTTACAACAAAGAGTCTGACATTCTAGGTTACGTGTTCACAACTGCCATAGAGGATTCTAGCCACTAATACTCATCAGTGCTTATGTTTGCTCATTTAAAATATTTATTTAATATATTCACACATTGTTTGAATGGTATTCTTTTTGTAATGCTTTACAAAATTGATACAAGATTGATACTGATTTGGCATTTGCAATAAATAACCTTAGTTGTAAATTCTGACTTTTTTTTTTAAATCTATGGTTGTGAGATGTTTTCACAAATTATTCCAATGTTTTAATTCTATTGCTAAATTTAAAGATACCACCAGCAGTTTGTCAAGGAAAAAAATGGGGAGCAACTGGGGTCGAAGGAAGGTATTCTAGGAACAAAACACTTTAACTCAAAAACCCCTGGATGCTGAAGAACAAAAATAATCTTGAAGGGAGTAACCTCTCAACTCAGCAACATATCATCATGCCAGTATGGAGTGACACTGGCTGCATCAGCACTGCAAAAATAATCCAGTCTGACCCCCCCCTTTAACTACCATGGCTCAATGCTATGGAATTCTGGGAACTGTAGTTTGTTGGGGCACCAGAGCTCTCTGACAGAGAAGGTTAAATGTCTCCCAAAACTACAGTTTCCAGAATTCCATAGCATTGAGCCATGACAGTTAAAGGGTATCAAACTGGATTATTTCTGCAGTGTGGATGCAGCCACTGCTAAACACCAGCGCCTAATAGCAGTCCTTTCAGTGTTTGCCAGGGAATGATAGAATTTAATCTTTGAGGACATGATATGAGTAGACAGGAGGTTTCACATTCTTGCATTATGGGCAAGAAGAGGAGCCATTCATTAAAAAGAAATCTGTTTGGTTCCATTTCACGCCTTCCAAGCTTGGCAACAGAATTAAGCACTTCTCTGCCTCAGAAAGGTGGACATTTCCTAGGGTGGCAAGACATTGTAGTCAATGGAATAATGCATTAAAAATGAGAATATTATGCCAGGAAAAAGTGATAAAATGCAGAAAATTTCCATGAGAGAAAGAAAAGAAAAGAAAAGAAAAGAAAAGAAAAGAAAAGAAAAGAAAAGACTACTAACTTAATACAGAACTGGGATGGAATGAGAATGCTTGTTGGATTCTGAGAAATGCAGTGAGAAACAGAATGAGACATTTTCACATGCCTGTTAAAAAGGGCACAGAGCTTCATGATAAAGGTATTGAAATTACTAGGCAGTTCTTGGGGGAAAATATATTCAACACAGTGGAGAGCAAATGCTTTTCAGAATCACTCTTGCATGCACATATGAAATCCAAGATAATACATCTGGGTAAAAGTGTATGGCTGGGAGGCCATATATTCCCAAAGCCATGAGCGAAAGCTAGAAAGCAGGGCCCTTTCACACTATATAATTATAGCACTATGATTCCATTTTAACTGCCACGGCAATATCCTATGGAATTCTGGGGTTCTATTTGCTATTTATTTTGATAAACATACTATTTACTTTTATAAACACCCTATGGAACCCACCCCCCTGCAAAAAGCCCAAACTGTTGTGAATTGCATGTTGCTGGATCACATTCTATTCAACTGGAATGAGGAGTATTTTAGACGTCTAGATTAACTCTTAGTCTTGGGGGGAGAGGAAAAGGAGGGAGGAACTACATCCCTTCCATGCCTGTGAGTATCATCCCAAAATTTCTAGAAAGCCAACCCTGCCAAGGTATATAACCCACATCTCGGAAAGATCTCCTTTTTCTCAGTCTTGGGAAGGGGAAATGCTGGCACCTTGCCCAAAACATTGAAAGACCATCCAGAGCTAAGAGAACAAGGTAATGTCCTGCCAGGAAGCAACACTGTGTAGTTTCACACAATTTAGCTTTGAAAACAATTGACACTACATTCTTTAAATCTGATATGATATAAATGCAGAGAAAGTAGGACAGATTATGGTTTATATCAACCAGCACTTCAGGCAAGTTTATTCTGAATGGATCCTGAAGGAACTACAGTGGGCCTTGGTATCTGATGGGGTTTGGTTCTAGTACTCCCTGTCAACACCAAAATCTGTGGATACTCAAGTCCCATTAAATACATTGCCATAGTAAAATGGTGCCCCTTATATAAAATGGCAAAATCAAGGTTTGCTTCATAGAATCTATATTTTTAGGAAAATATCCAAGCTGTGGATGCTTGAATCTGTGGATAAAAAGTCCGTGGATAAGGAGGACTGACTGTAGTTAATCACTTATATTATTCATCTGCAGCAAACATCCCATCCTCTCTGTTTTATAACTCCCACTTTGGCTCAAGTGTTCTCTGATTCAGGTGCAGGGAATGTGATGAAGGCAGAAGTCAAAATGTTTTGCTTTGAGACTTCACAGTTTCTGTTATGTTAGTCTAGTGTATGGACGCATGTAGGTCTGTGCCCACACTGTGTCTAGTACTTGAGGATACATGAAGCAAAGGTGGCAAACTGCAGCCCTCCTCAGTTTTATTTCAGAAGTTCTCTAACTGCATTTAGCTCAGGTTAGAGTGTTTTTTGGCAGGGAACAAAAAACTTGAATATCTAGTGGGCAGATTCCCAGCTTTTCACTTGCTATGGCATTTCATCCTTGTCTTCCTTTACCTTTATCTTGACTGCTGTCTGTGGGCCCTTTTACACTACTCAATTTTGGCACTATGACCCCACTTTAAGTCTCATAGGTATAATCTGCACTGCAGAAGAACCTTGACACTGCTTTAACTATTATGGCTCAATGCTTTGGAATCATGGGATTTGCAGTTTGTTTGGCACCAGAATGCTCTGACAGAGAAGGCTAAATATCTCACAAAACCACAAATCTCAGAATTCCATAGCATTGAACCATGCCAATTCAAGCTGTATAACTTCATTAATTCTGCAGCGCAGATTAGGCCAAAGCAACATCCTGGGTTTTCTAGTTTATTGAGGCATGAGATGAACTCTCTGACTGAGGATTCTAAATACCATACACTCCAACTATTCCAATTTGGCAATGACAGTCCCCATTAATCCTCTGTTGTCTCACTTTTTGTCTGTCTTTAATATGTCTCCATTTCTTGGAGTATGTAGACAGGTAGAATCTAGCATACACACATGCAGAGTTGAAACACATAGGCAGAAACGCCCAGAAAATGGTCTTCTGTGAAGAATCTTGCTCCAGACAGCACAGGAAAAATCCTCCCACATGCAGGTGCTGCTTTCAGCTTGGAGAAATGAATAACTGGACAGTGAGACTTCACTCAATGAGGGCTTTAATTTTTGTTGCAAATATTTACAAAGATACATAGAGTATCAGACATCCATCTTGAATACTCACAGCTATACAGACCAACAAAGTGCTTCACTAGTTTCATCCCCAGGACCTGTTGCATCAGACCTCCCAATGCTGACTCATGCACCTGTCACTTGAACTGTAGTAACCCTGTTTCAGTGGTCACATCCATGTCATTTTCCAGACCAGGGTGCCACATGGTCTTGACACCATTTTGCTATCTTCTTCCCATTTCCCCTTTTGTCCTCACCTTACTTCAGCGCCTGCAAACTGAGTTTAAAATGCTAAAGCTGTTCACATTCAATTAATTTAGAAGAAGGGGGTAAGAGGAGAGGTGGCATCTTGTCTCTCCCAGTAGGCTCAGCCAAAAGCAAACTGCTGTAGCTTTCTCCTAGCTTTTTGTTCTTCCTCATTAATAGCTATTGCCACTTTGACCACCCTCTGATGTTTCTTGGCCACACATGTCCTAGTTTTCATCTGTGAAATGTTTAAGGGTATTTCATACCTCTCTCTTTACTGCAAATGCTGGGATTCCACAAGATGTTGCCATGAAACTCAAGTGGAAGTGAACATAATCATTGTGATGGGCCTTGTGTTTGGATTCTCATTGGCCTCCCCATTCATTAACTTTCATCCTAATGTGGTGAATAGATCCCAGTCTACCAGCTTTGTTAAAACAGCAATCTTCCCTTCTGTTAACCTCTGTTAGCCAACACATCAGAGAGAGGTGGTACAAGAAAGGATGGAAAAGCCCAAACATTCATGTCTGTGTGTCACATCTGAATTCATATGTAGACGACAGTTTACCACAAACAGCAAACTAAATGGCTAGAATCCCCTGAAAATGGCACCAAATGGACAATCACATCTCCTTTTTCATGCCACTTTCTTTTTATTTACTTGGCACAGTATCTTTGAAGAAATTCCACAGTGGGAAGCAAAATATGTTAATCATAGGGAATATTCCTATAAAGATCAAGTTTGGCTTTTATTTTTCTTTCCACCAAACAAATATTGTCTCCTGGTAGAAGGCTTTATCCAGTGGTAGGGGAGGCCAGTGTAGTGTAGTGGTTTGAGTGCTGGACTGTGACTCTTGAGATCAGAGTTTGAATCTCTGCTCAGACATGGAAACCCACTGGATGACCTTAGGGAAATTATGCTCTCTCAGCCTGAGAGGGAAGCATTGGCAAAACACCCCGCTGACCAAATCTTGCCATGAAAACCCTGTGATAGGCTTGCCTTAGGGTTGCTGTAAGTTGGAAATGACTTGAAGGTACACAATAATAACAACAACAAGAGCCCTCCCTCCATTACCATCCAATGTCACCTGGAGGAGAGACACTAGGCCCAGAACCATCGAGACTAAAATAATAAGAAGAGCCCTCCCTCCATTACCATCCGATGTCATCTGGGGGAGAGACACTAAGCCCAGCACCACCTGGCCTAGAATAAGAAGAACCCTTACTTCTAAAAGGATGTGTGGGATTCGGGATTTTATGTTCTGTTTAATGTATGGAAATTGTAATGTTGTAAGCCACACCGATTGCTCTGCAGAGGGGCGGGATATAAATAAAATTATTATTATTATTATTAACAACAAGGGGTAGGCTACGTCTGGTGAACTTATCTTAGTTTCTGTCTGACACCAGGGCCTTGTTCCCACTACAATTTACAATTGCTGATCAGGTTATATGACTGTCGCTCCCACTTGAAACCAGATCCAATCCTACTGTGGTTGGTTTAAACCGCGCTGAAGTGAGGCAAATGCAAAAGAACTGCTCTTTTCTGACATTAGTTTTCGTGTGGTTCTTTTGAAAAGACCCAAATCTGATCCGTGTTCAATAAGTGGGAATGACGGGTCGGATTTGCTTCTGGGGGCTGTGCCGGCTCTTGCTGGCTTCTTTCAGCCAGCCCCTCCTCTATTTGTTGTTGTTGTGTGCTTTCCAGTTCTCTCCATGGCAGTTGTTCTCCTCAAGTGTGAACGACAAAGGAGATTAAAAGGGGAGTAAATGGCCCCGGAGAGATTCGATCACAAAATAACCCAGTTTCCACACTGGGTTATTTTGTAGGGGGAACAAGCCCCAGGAGTGGGCATCCTGTTGCTCACAGGCCCCCATATCACCTCTGCAGTTCCCCACCAGCAAAATTTGTGGTATGTGGGCAGTAGTTAAATAGCAACAGCAGCCGAAACAACATCAACATATTTTTGTTAGTTTTAAACAAATATTTTTGATTAACACAAACACAAACAAAAATACATTTTATATATATCTAAAACTACTATATAACAAAAACAAACAGACAAGCAATACAAATTAACACTTAACTAAACGAAACTACACATTAAAAACTACCCCCTCCCTAGACGATGGTTGTAGCCTTCCCTTTTTATCTACTTAAAATTGTGGTGTACTTTTTACTTCTTTAAAATCAAATGTAATTTATTTAATAGAACCTAAAATCAGTACATATATATGTCCCTATTTTTGCACGTTTTAACAGGGAATGGCTCTCCAGAAGCCTCTGGAAGCATAATTCTAGTTAAACAAGGAGTCTGCTCCTCATGTGACTTGTTTACTGCTCAAATATGTTTTGAAACAAACTGGAAGCAAGCTTTAGCTATATTCTAATGACAAATATCAGCAATGCATGGCAGCCAAATTTGTTGGTTCAAGAGTGGGAAATGGGCCAAAGCACCCTTCCTCCCGCTGTATGGGTATCTAGTCTGATGGTCCATAATATTCAAACTTAGCTGCAATTACATAAATTTGAGTTTGGTCAATTCAGGCATAACAGAATGCCTTGTAACCCCTGGGTTCCACTGTTGTGAATGTCATACAAAGCCTTTCACTCTTCCCATCCACAGTGCTCCTCACCATGTAGATGGGAAAAATGCGGCTTGCTATGCCCCATATTATTCAATAGCGACAAATGTCAGCACATCTGCATGCACCTTGGCACCCACT